GGTGGGGGGGGGTTGGGGGCCAGTGTGATCCGGCCATTTGGTTATTAGGTCCCCCACTGCATATGGGGTAAAAGAGGCAATCAACGTCAAACTGGAACAAGCATCCTTAAACAAGGGTGTGGACTGTTGTCTTCAACATATAATGCCGTTTTTCCATCTCTACCCCTGTGTTTTGACAACAATTCAGACATGCAAATCAAATAATTAACACCTATGTAGTCTTCCTGACACGAAAGATGACATTATGTAGAGGTTGAACAGGGTGGTTCTACACATTTCACATGTCCCATCCTGCTCTTGGACAATAACATCTGCCATTTCATAGTGATTGTTTAAGGTTCCTGTGCTACCTGTGTGGATATAAATGCTTAGGTATTTTCCGAACCTCAGTAGAACTGAAGAATTGGCTTGGATAAGCTATGAAATGTCTTCAACATTACAGAACAAATCCAGTTAAACGTGACTAACTGCTACTAACCTTTCTGCTAAATAAATATTTGATACAGTGTGCACCCATGAATGCTAAAACTTTATAAATAGCCATCCGAAGGCAGAGGGAGATGGGGAGAGAAGTCACTGCTCTAAATCATTCACGAGTGTGCTAATGTCAGCATTTAAAGTGTATATAAACTTTAATAATTCACTGCTTTTATTTGTTCCCCTTTGGTCTGCTAATTATACTATTGAAATCATTTTGTTATATGGATTTAATAAGAGCAAAAATAAACCTGTTGATTGGTTTAGAAATCCATAGCTGTCCTGTGTCTTGTACTCTCTGTCTGTGTTATCTTGAGAAGTGTAATCAGCCCTGCCAGTTGTTATCTTGGACTACAAAACAATTACTCGTGATGTTGTGGAGATGAGGAGAGTGGGAGCCATTCTTTAGTTTACCAAGAGACTATTGGGCAGGGATGACATCGTTTCGTTTGCTTTCAGGAAAAAAAAGGCACTGTGTTGTTAGCTATAGCACGGAATTAGGAAATAAATGCATTTCTGGCAAATCAACAGATGTTCTTCTGTAGATTCAGGGATAAAACATGCATGTATCTCAGGGATGTACTGCATATGTTTTATTTTGCCCTAACATACACTTTAAGGATGCATACTGTTTTGTTTTTTTTCCAGACATGGACTGAGACGGTCACATCCCCTACTAAGGTCAGTATTACTTAAAATATGTATAATGATGAGTCAATTTTGTAGCTTAAAGCCACAACCTTTGACCCGGTCAGTTCCTCACATAGTGCCAATAGGGAAGCCATTGTTATCCATGTAGCCATTTTCACGCAAAGAAATACGGTGTAATAAGGTCCAGTTGTGTGGACACTGGTGGAAGAACTGTATGTGAAAATCGAATGCAGTCCCCAGGTGTTAGACTGATATTCCATGCACTTACTAAAAGGTTTACATTTCTAAACAAGAATGCAAAAATCTGAACAAATTGAGGTTTGTCTCTGATGCACCAGACCATTCTCAAATCTCCAAGCTATCTCCTGAATCAGCCCAATGCAAAAAAAAATAACTCTTAAGTACATCATATCATACTTTGGTGTTGTAGATTGGAGAACGTTGCTGGGATAATCTAATTTAGGCTTCAGTTTTTTGTAAAACTGCCATCAAATGCATTTCTATTGAACATTTTACACCACTTCTCTGCTATACTAGATCAGCAGCTAAATCTGCAGCTGTACATCTACAGCTGAACACAGCAGTGTTAATCCAACGCTTCAGTGACAGTATTTGGTGCATGTGTAATTTCAAAGCAACGAAAGGGAAAAGACAAACCACCTATTCTCTTCTGGTAAGCCCCATCCCCTACACCATTGTGCTCTAATGAACTGGCACTTTAACATCCCACAGCTTTACAACACACACAGAGACCATGGGGAACAAAATTAGCCACCCTCCAGAATGAAGGACAGTGTCAGCATGACTTTAGACATAATTTTAGGATCTACAGCTAAGTAATACACAAATAAGCTTAATTTAAGGTAATAGTTAAGACACTGAAATGCATTTTTACGTTTTAACTCCTGAGTTTAGTGTCACTTTAATCCACAGTAATTTGAGGGTAACTCCCTCACTCAAGAGGTAACATCACAATGTTACCTCTTGAGCAGTGGCGTCGCTACAGGGGGGCAAGGGGGGACAATTGCCCCCCCTAGGTTTTCACTTGTAATTGAATACATGATTGAAAAATTCATTTGGGTTCATTAAAAAGTGGAGGGGCATTGGCTTTGCTCATCCACCTATGAACATCCCATTGAAGAATACATGATAGAATGGTTAATTAATAGCATGATTAGAATAATAGATACATGAATAAGGATGGTTGAGAATGGGGGAGCGAATATTTGTGTCAACGTTTCGCGCTCAGAGGCGGCCAAGACGGCCCCAACCGGGCAGTACACCAAAACAGTCCTCCCAGGGGAGAGGAGCGAGGACCAAACCCTGTGTCGAGCAGTTTGAGGTGGGAGGCATAGAATAATAGTCACGCCTTGTATGGAGTAAAGAACCGCAGGATTTGGGTTACTTGTTCACCTAGACACTGCCTCACAATTCAGGTCCCTCCTCCAGTAGCCAGCCTGTTTTTGGCTATTGCAATTTGAAATATCCAATAGGAGGCTGGCTATTGCTTCCAGCAATGAAGTAAAAAAAGTTTAAAAAAATTAAATAAACTAAAACTAAAAAAAGTTGCCGGCTTCCCCGCTATGCTAATAGTGTATCTTCTCAGAAGCTGCACACAGCGCGCCAGTTACAGTAGTAACCAGCACACGATGTATGCAGCTTCTGTCGCAAATCAGCTCTCGGCTCCCATCGGTTGCGACATGCAATTAAAAGTATTAGTGCCCCCCCCCAGATCTGACTGTGGTATCTTATGTGCCCCCCCTAAATATTGTTCCTAGAGTCGCCACTGCTCTTGAGTGAGGGAGTTACCCTCAAATTACAGTTCACTTGTCTACTCTTTCCAGGTTTACCAAAATCCATATCTCTAAACATAGTAACAACCCTCTCTTGAGGTGCTACATAGAGTATTTGGTGTAGTACAGCATATGCCAGAAGATAGTGTGAGAAGGGTAAGAATAGAAACACAAGGACAGAGTGGACCCAAAGCTATCTGCTTTCTGGAGTGTTTTAGCTTTGTGTAACCTGGCCTTGGGGCGGCAAGGAGAGTAAATCCGGCCCTGCATCTATGCACTTGGCTTTTTTGTGTATTATTGTTGTTCTTATTGAGTTTATCTAACCTGCTTTTGTGCTAAATGCCTTTGCATAGAAAACATCTTAGTATTTTGTGGAATGCTTCTACTGCACTAAGGGATTGTTACATCATTATTTACAGCAATTCTTTCAAATAATAATTTTTGTTTTTGTTTTTGAGCTTATCTTTGTTTGTTATGTGTCAATCATAACCATTTTGCACCATCCTGGTCCTGCCTTGTTGACAGGCAAACAAAAAATTAACACACAATGCTAGGCCTTTAAAATTATACTTCCAAAATATGCTAAAATCTTCTTACCTACCTACAGTTAAGTTAACTGCTAAATTACAAAGACTCCACTAACATAACATATAGGACTGTGTGTGTATATACCAGAGGGATGTTTCAGTTAATGTTTTCCTTACGTAAGTGAGCTATCACCAATATACTATGAATATATTAATAGTTATATAGTTGTGCAGTCAATTTTGATGTGTGGTTATTTGTATTAAAAGCTAAGCTCTTTATTATACTCGTACGCCTGCATACAAAGACAAATTATCCATACCCCCTCTTAGATTCAGTGTGCCAGCTCTAAGCTGTTTATGAGAATACTGGCTTTGTGTATGCCTTTTATTTGTCCTCTAGTGATCACCATGATCCTTTTGAAACCGAGAAATAAAATCACGTCATAAATATCCTTTTAGCAAGAACCTATTAGCAGAAATAGAAATTTGATTTTGTTTTTTTTTTAAGGGAAACATAAAGAAAAAGTATGTTGCCTTTGTGATCTTTTATGCCGAGTCACTTCTTTTGAACAGCTGTCCAAGCTTTTTTGTGTCATGGGCTACAAACGTGTTATACAGGGAAAAACAGCAATATGGCAAAAATACAAATCTTTTACAGTAAATCTTCAGATGGGAAATGTGCTGCCTATGTAGTCCAAACGGTCTTACACAGACAGCATAGTGATCTGAGCTAATATTTATTAAGATAAATGTTGGTCAAAGTGCAATCATTGGGTATATTTATTTCAACTTTACTGGAGCAAAAATCATACTGCATATATCTTGTGCTGGGAATTAATTTGAAAGAAAGACACAAGTAACATTGTGCATTTCCCTGGTTCCAAAGATCTGATGTACAAACAATTGGCTTTGTTAACCAAACTCATTTCCTCTTTTCTAATGGCAGGTGAGCCCAAGACATACATTCTTTTTGCCTCATTGTTAAAAGGTTTTGGTCAGTGCTAACCATATTTGCATAATACTTGCCAGAGTTTAACAGTGAAGAATCTCACTGATCAATGGATTACCTCACATAGTTATCTGTGGCATGATTCATCCAGCATCTAATAACAGCTCCACTTACTTAAAGTGACACTTAGGGGGTGATTTACTAACCTAAACACACGCACGCACCAGGTGCATGTGATTTTCACACAGCAAAACGTATTTATCAACCAAAAAGTCTCTAAAAGCATATTTCCACTAATGCCATATATGGAAAAATCATGCACATGATGCATATATAATGCTGCTTCACAGTTTACACAAAAATGGTTAGCTCATGCATTTACATTCCTGCATTCATCAACGCAAGCAACACAACATAGAGCTAATTTACACAACATCACCTTGCAATTCATGCTTGGCTTTGCACAACACACCTGCTGGGTGTGTACACACTACAAAGGTGTTTCGATTCCTCCCATAGATCATGCTGGGAGGGAACACACTACAGAGGTGTATACATGTTCGTGGTGTGTTTATAAGGTTAGTAAATCAAAACCCTTAAACTCAGTAGGTAAATCTTAAAAATGCATCCTGTGATGGACTACAATCTCAATACAAATGAATAAAATAAACGTGAGATTCAATACAAATTATTAAACTAAACGTGTAGTCTGTCACAGGAGCAAGCTTGTAGCGGTGACTACTTTACAACACACACACAGGGACCATGTGGAATAAACGTAGCCACCCTCCAGAAGGAAGGACAGTGTCAGCACCACTTCAGAAATGATTTCAGGATCTACAGCTGAGTGATACACAAATAAGATACATTTTTGTATATAGTTAAGGTACTTGTATGCATTTTTAAGATGTAACTCCTGAGTTTAGTGTCACTTTAAATATTGCTGTCCTTGTCCCCACTGTAGAGATTTTCACTCACTCCTACCTTAAAGACCACATAGGAAGCAAAGAGCAATTTCTTCTAGGGGGACATAAGCAGTAATAAGCACCTAACAAAAATTCTGTCTCTTAACTGTAAAGTGGTGCTTTTAATGCTTAGATGCTGTCTAGAACAATATTGTATAAGCTGGAATTTTCCTTTAACTTGTATTGCTTTTTTTTCTACAGACAAAACCAAGGCTACAGCGAGGTGGTAGCTCTGCTTCACTGCACAACAGTCTTATGAGAAATAGCATCTTTCAGCTAATGATCCATACACTTGATCCTCTGTCTGAAGGTAATTCCCTTTCTTTCTGCTTATTAAATATTTATTTTTGTACATTAAATTGATGCTCTCTGGTTTGAATGTGTATTTTTTTTTCATTCCTAAAAGTAGAATAAAACATACAAATCTTTAAATGCCAATGATTACAAAGTTACATTATACCACGATAAAGCCCGGTGAACTTTTTATGCGCATTACCCTTACACTGTAATTGAAACATGTTGTTACTATTTTTCTAGCAGCTACACCCATGTTGATTTTGTGGTGTTTAGAAATAAACTGAACTAGGTGATGGTAATTATATTGTTGGCCCTGGCACAGAAAAGAATGTTATTTTGAATACTAAAGCTGATTATGTAATTTTTAAAATTTTATAATTATATTACCAAATTTGCTTTCTTACTACTACTGATACACACAGTCATTGCATTAGATATTTAAATTGGGAACCATATTTTTGTTGTAAAATAGATATGAAAATATGCCAATAACTATATTAATACATTTGCTTTCTTACTACTACTGGTGCACACAGCCATCCCATTAGATGTTTGAATAGATTAAATTGGGATTTATATTTTTGTTGTAAAATAGATACGAAAATATGCCAATAATTATATGAACTTACTATTACTGGTACGCATGTGCTATTGCATTAGATATATACAGTAAATGAAGGCTGTCAGTGATTCATGACAGAATATGTTGAAATATGTACATATAGTATGACTTACTGGAAAGTGAAGGTGTTGATACCTGCCTAAATTAAACACCCTTGTTGGGAAAACAATATTTTGTTCTTAGGGAAAGCTCAGATTGACCGTTTAAATGCAGCGTTTTCATCCCTAGTAAATCATTGCATGTCTCTGCTGAGCTACATCAATAGTGCATAGTGTTTTGGCTCCACACAGTGAGGCTGGTCCTGTAGCATCTGATGAGGAATAAGATAGAAATTCAGATTTAATTATAGATTTGTTTTATATAATGACTGTATTTAGCACTGCCTGCAAAAACAGTGTTAGGCGGGCAGGGGAAAGTGGAAACCCATTTAATAGAGGTGATGGTTTCATAATGCAAAGTACCCCTTTCCGCAACTTACACAACTGCTATATCCAGTGGTGTATTTTGGTTTGGACTGCCCTAGGCAAGACAAAACTCGACGCCCCCCCCCCCACACTAAATTTACCCCACCCGGCTGTGATCTCAGGCGGGCTCTGCAGGTCTGTGGTGGGCTTTGCAGGCTGCAGAGCCCCCTATGGATCCTGCAAAGCCCCCTGCAGAGCCCACCACAGATCCTGCACAACCCCCCTGAGACTCTGCATCTGTGGGGGGGCTTTGTCGGGTCTCAGGGGGGCTTTGCATAATCCATAGTGTGCTCTGCAGCCGGCACAGTCCCCCACAGATCCTGCGGGATCTCAGGAAGGCTCCGCAGGATCTGTGGTGGGCTTTGCAGGATCTGTGGTGGGCTTTGCAGGCTGCAGAGCACACTATGGATTATGCAAAGCCCCCCTGAGACCCGACAAAGCCCCCCCACAGATGCAGAGCCTCAGGGGGGTTGTGCAGGATCTGTGGTGGGCTTAGCAGGCTGCAGAGCCCCCTACAGATCCTGCAGAGACAACCAAAGGGTATTGCACACAACACCTGAGACTCTTTGGTGGGCTGTGCAGAATCTATGCTGGGCTCTGCCAGCACAGTCCTCTTACCTTGCACGGACTGACCTCTTTGGAACACGGGCTCCTTGTCATCGGCGCCCGACTGGACGGCCTCCTCATCCTCGGCGCCCGGCTGGAGCTCCGGCGACGCCTCCCACCTCCTCCATCGGCGTCTCTTCCGTCTCGGGGGCCACTTGCCAAATTTTATACTTTAAAATAAAATTTAACTGTATCCGGTGCTATGGTACTACAGACACCAATATACACACAAAAAGGCCCTATTCATATCTGTAGATTTAGGTGCAATTAGGGATTCCTGCATCAGAAACTTGCGGTTTCCTGCAGCAGAAATCCCTAATCTGATGTTTACAAGTGGCAGCTGTCACCTATTCAAGTTAATGATCAGGTGACAGCAGCTGCATGTAAATGCCTGCTAACCGCATGTAATCATATGTGACATAATTACATGCGGTTAGAAAACACTCTTCCTGAATGCACAATCGATGCATACAGGGAGAGTGATTGATTCCAAACCGAATGTAAACATATGATGTATCTTTACATGCGGTGTGCAGGATTGGCCCCCCTCTCCTGCTTACCTTGTTGCTGGGAGGAGGCTGTGAGGCGGCACGTCAGTCCCGGTAAATCGGTGCCTGATTGGTAAGGTCTGCTGCAGACCTTACCAGTCAATCCTGCACAATCCTTTCGGCCAGCGTTCACTGAAAGAGCACTGGCCGACAGAATCCGAGTGCCGGCGCAGACCCAGCTACACGGTCTGCATCCGTCAGAGATGCAGATCGTGTAGCTGCTCCCGCAAGTCAGGTATGCGGTCTGTGACCGCGTACCTGACTTCTGAGCTGGCTGCGGGTCACAAAGTACCGGCTTGCGGGCTGCAATTGGCCCGCGGGCCGGTACACTGAGACCCCAGCATTTTTGCCGCTCCCTTGGATTCTGCCGCCCGAGGCAAACGTGTTGTTTGCCTCGCGGCAGATACGCCCCTGGCTATATCCCATTCCAGTGGAAGTGTCCTTAATAGACACTGATGTGGCTTTGCAGTGAGCAGGAACGCTAACTTCAACTTACAATTCAGTCCAATAAGGTACTTGCAATTCAGTCCAATAAGGTACTTGCAATTCAGTCCAATAAGGTACATGCTATAGCAGCATAGCATGTAGTATACTAAGTCGGGTGCTGCATTGGCATTTGTATGGATTGGAGACGGCTAAAACTGCAAAGTACATAACACATCTATGAGCAGCTTAGGAATTCTTTTAAACAGGGCAGAATGACGGAATTTAGCAAGTTACTGTGGTGGAAAGTCTGAGGGTTCTGTCAATGACATCATTCTTTAAATATAAAAATACACCCCAAAATTGTATAAGTCATATTTTCTACTTTCTTAGATACTTTGTTTTGTTTATGTTAGGGAGAAAAAAATAGATCATGTTGTCATTGAGAAGTGTGATGATAAAATATTTAATTTCACAACAGGGACAGTATCCTGATGGGAAGGATCTATCTGGCTCTGGCGGTCATGCCATAAATGACTGCATTGTCAAATAAAAGATGGGGATTAAATATACATGACAGAGGGATACATTAGTAGTGTGCTGGCTGATTTGTGTCGCGCTGGGTGTCCTTCTCAGCCTGGGTTATCTCTTTCACTTGTGACTGACCTTTCTGCTATACCTTCCATAGCTCTATCCTATCCATTAAAAATTAATCATTTCAGCTCCTATTTTTGATATCATTACGTGCATAATTGGCAAAATGCTTTTGGCACTTCCTGCAGAGTAAGATCAGCGTGAACAACAAATGCAGGAAATCATCAACTGTGAAAATGCTCCTTCACCATTTAAGCAAGCAAAAAGCAGCTGTGACGCAGCCATCATAAATAACTATTATAAATGTGTGTCAGGCATGGTGAGTTTACAGATTATGCTCTGATTTAATGCAGAGTTTGCGCTATGCCAAGGATCCTATTATTAGATCCACAGTTGGCTATTTTAATCACATCTAGAAACTAAGCATCTATAACATAAAATGATGGTAAAACTCTGTGGTATATTCATCGTAATCCATCAACTCTGCTTTAAAGTATTTGTGGAATAGTTGTGGAAATATAAGAGATGTTCAGAATTTGTGGCTCCATAAATTTTTTACATAAATGCTCTTGGGTGTTTACTCCACAACAGGTTATACACAGAAAAAGTCTGTGTATGGAGTAGAAATGATTGCTGCAGTGACCCTAGGGGAAGGGGGGGGGGCAATCTCCTGACTCCTAGGAAAATCAGTAGGCTGGAAATTAAGTTATTGTGCTATCTTGGTTAAATAAAGGTAAGCAGCTCTCCAAGCTGCTGGCCTCTGGGGAGAAACAAGGAAATCATTTATCGAGCTCTGAATTGTAAGTAAAGAAAGATCTACCAAGAATGTGTGCCATACACATAAAATATCAGATTTTGTCTTTCCCCAAAAGCATTTAGTCAAGGTGGGATGAGTATGCAGCAGAATATTGGTTTTGTGTTGAGGGAGGTTGAAGGTTAAGTGATAAAGTAGTTTTGTTTTTTTATTCAGCACAGGAATAAAAAGTATCTTAATAAGCTTCTATAAAACTGCCCATTTCATCATTTTTGCCTGGTCTCAAACCACTGCTTCCCCTCCTGTTTGTGGTTATCTCCTTTACCTAACAGGTTGCAAAGGAGACCCGTGCATATGCGCTCCAGCTTTGTGCATCCATTGGAACACTCTTTTCTCACAGCAATTTGACAGGCAGCTCCAGCAGCCTATCCCTTCTTTATCCTCAGTGCCCTTGGTACTCTCCTCTACAACCCAGAAGTTTGTGGAAGCAGCACAGATCTTCTTGCAGCTGGTGGACCATAGGTAAGTGTTTGGGTTAGGGGGCATGGAAAGGTACTGGAGCATTTTTTACCTTAATGCAGAGAACTCATTAAGGTAAAAAAAAATGCATAGCCTTTAGTACTTTTTAAGGACTTTCTTTAGGGGTTAAGTGTAGAAGAATTTATTTAGGGGCTAAGTTAATTGCTACCATTAGGGTTAGGGGCAGGTAACAGTGTAGGACATATTCAGTTTAATATTTATTTTGTTTTTTGGACTATATCATTATCTGAATTCCTTTAAAGTGTTTCTCTAACTCCATTTAGGAATAATAATCCTGCCCTAAATTACTGTCCATCCTGTTCCCAAAATTCCTTAGATGAAGCAGAATTAACCAATCTGGACAGCAAAAAGGTAGCTTTATTCCCAAATCTTAGAAACTGGCAAGTCTAGCTAACAGAGTTTCTCTATCAGCTGACAGCAGATTAAACTCTAAATTCTGTCTTGTTTTTACATAATTGGAGT